AGCCTGTAAGACTTACATCGTTTTTTGAATAGGCTTATTATTATACTCTTTCAAACGTTCAAGTAATGTCAGTATAAATTAGAGCACATTCCAGCATTTGTAATTAGGACATAGATATTGTAATTTTTTTTTTTCTTCTCTTTTTTGTTCTTTTGTTTCTTTTCTATATTTCTGAAATTTTTAATTGTGCATTCCTCTTTTTATTATTATTATTATTATTATTTTTAACTATGAAATGAGGTAAAAATGAAACATTGTATGGAAGGAGCGGAGTGGAAGGGCAGAATGTTAGACGGGCCTGCGTGCCCAATTCTCAACCCTTTGAAAATAAAGTTTGTTCGTTCGTTCGTTCGTTCTATCTATCTATCTATCTATCTATCTATCTATCTATCTATCTATCTATCTATCTATCTATGCTATCTATCTATCTATCTATCTATCTATCTATCTATCTATCTATCTATCTATCTATCTATCTATCTATCTATCTATCTATCTATCTATCTATCTATCTATCTATCTATCTATCTATCTATCTATCTATTTATCTATCTATCTATCTATCTATCTGTCTATCTATCTGTCTGTCTGTCTGTCTGTCTGTCTGTCTGTCTGTCTGTCTGTCTGTCTGTCTGTCTGTCTGTCTGTCTGTCTGTCTGTCTGTCTGTCTGTCTGTCTGTCTGTCTGTCTGTCTGTCTGTCTGTCTGTCTGTAGATAGTAGCAACTATGTTAAATAAACCCAGACTTCTACATAGCCCCAGTTCTATTGAGCTCTTTATGTTAACTTTCTTTTTCATCGCCACGGATCGGATTTGAGTTCCTAGTCGTTTCGTTGATGAAGACTTTAGTCAAACCGTTGGCTCAATCCGTCTTCTTCTTGTACGTTTTTGAGCTTCTTAGTCACAGCCCCGGTTGTGTTAGTTCAGACCTCTCTAGGTTTTATGTATTATCTGTGTGTCTGCAAAATAGGGAATAAAGAGTGCATGGAATGATTGCAACTCAGGCTGTTCAATTAGCAGACCAAGGAGACTCCACAAGCCTTAACCTATTTTAAGTGTGTTAAAGACGTTAAGTTCAAGAGAATGGACTTTATCGATGATTACTGTGGATTTCCTTAAAACAAGCACTCGTAAACCAAATGACGCGTCCGCCCCCACACCTATCTCTTTTTCCTCTCAAGTTTAAACTTGTGACTTGCTAAAGTTTCCCTCATAATAAAGATGATTTCCTTTTGTCTTCCTCTTCTATAAGTGTGATTTCTAACATCTATCTATGATCTTATTATCACCCCGTTGATGGATCTAAAAAGTGATTGATCGATCGATCCCCAATCTGGGTGCCAGATCAATGAGACACATCTCAGATGTCCCATTCTACCCCCCTTCCCTTTTTTTCCACCCCCCCCCCACCCCCATGTTAGGGTTAACGGCTACACCAAGCAGGTGTAATCTGCAGTCTGCGCTCGTAATCGTTATCACTGCGACCTTACTTGGTGACTTCACTAACGACCTGCCCCAAAATTTAACCAGTTTCTAAAAAAAAAAAGTGAGTTGTACAAAAGACCACGCTGAGAGAGAAAAGAAAACTAGTTGAACACTGGCTCGCCTGCGCGCGCGCACACACACACACACACACACACAACACAACACACACACACACAGTGTCTCTCAAGGTCGCCTACCACGAAAGAAAGCTCCACACTGTCAAACGGTTTTAATAGAGAGCAAAGGCGAAGAAATACATATCTAAACTAGTGATGGCTGTACATGAGACCTAGATGACAGGCAAAAAAAAAAAAACTAATTGAACTCTCTCTCTCTCTCACACACACACACACACACGCACACACACACATACACACACACAAACACACATACACACACACACACACACACACACAGAAACTAGTCCCTTAATGTCACCTCCTATAAAAGAGAGCTCCACAATTGCTTGTCGGGCCTTGAACGAACGAGAGTCGGTTTTTACGCAGGTGTGTATAGACAAGACCGTCTACATCTGACAGGTCATGATGCTGACGTCACTAAACCGGGCTGACAATACGTTAAGGACATCTTAGACGCCCAAATTGAATTTTATTATATCTGCTGAAAACAATGCTTTCTATAGGTAGACATTAGTAAAGATTGATGGAAAATTAATTTTGGTGGCTAAAATCAACACATTTTCACGGAAATTCACTAAAAATGTCATATTTTATTCGGAAAATAGCCAAATTTGTATTCAACCATTACCAAGATATTTCAAAAACTAATAAAGATGGCTAAATGAAAACGTGTTCTTTCTCATCAGTGGGACAACAAGACATGTCGAGCTGATTCCGACGGAGATGGGTTGACTAACGGCGAGGAGCTAGGTGACCCATACTGTATCTGGAAAGTTGGAGACACTCCAACGCGAAAGACGAATATAACGAGCCCAGGTAAATCTCTTTTAGAGAAGTGCTAAATAGAACATAAAATATGATTGGGGGGAGGTAAAAAGGACGTGCACAAATACTATCGACCAAAGTCTTTATGAACAAAATAAATTCAAAACAGACCATGACTGGAAAACTCAGCAGACAAGACAACAGAGCTTCTAAACAACCAAGGTCAACACGAAACCAAGAAATCCGTAATAAGGGGGAAGAATGTGGACATAAATGGTTATAATGCGAAACGAAATAAGTTAGCAGATTTTTTAAACGGGAGCGGGGGCGAGAAATATAAACAGGTTAAATCGTATGTGTTTGTTGTGAAGTTTATTCAATGTCCTGTCAAAATCTGGTATGTGATTTTAATTTTTATGTAATAACAATGAATATAAATACATTTAAATGTGCATAAGATAACTTTATAAAAATGCAATCACAACTGACCGAAGAAGGGGGTCCACTTACAAAGTTTTTATTGAATAGAGAAAATAAAGACAGATTGTATGTCCTGTAAACATAAAAGCAGCTTATAAATACACTATTCGTACTAACTTTGTGCTATCAGTGCAAGACATGGACAGTCGTAGGAAAACATAAACGCACAATTACGATATGCGAGTTTCATAAATGCAGCAGGGGAAAAATGAGAGTGACAGTCACCAGTGAAGAACAACAGTGGTCACAGTACCTGTGAATGATTTCATAGATCGTTAAAAAAATGGAATAAAATTAGCCACGTCTAGAACGTAACACATGAGAAAAGCAGGCAACAATTCTAGAGGTCAACCAAGAAAGAAATAGGTGGATAGAGTAGAAGAGACACTGCAGAAACACATTATGACATCAACACAAGATACGCAACTAGCAAAAGACTACACATAACTCCCCTCCTTGACGCTTGACGGATTAAGCAGTAAGACATTACGAAGAAGAAGAAGAAGAAGAAGAAAGAAGAAGAAGAAGAAGAAAAAGAAGAAGAAGAAAGAAGAGAAGAAGAAGAAGACGAAGAAAGTAAGAAGAAGAAAACAGAAGAAGAAGAAGAGAAGAAGAAGAAGAAGACAGAAGAAGAAGAAGAAGATAAGAAGAAGAAGAATAAGATAAAAGAAGAAGAGAAGAAGAAGAAGAAGAAGAAGAAGAAGAAGAAGAAGAAGAAGCAGAAGAGAAGAGAGAAGAGTAAAGAAGAAAGAAGAAGAAGAAGAAGAAGAAGAGAAGAAGTACGAAGAAGAAAGAAGACGTAAGAAGAAGGAAGAAGAAGAAGAAGAAGAAGAAAGAAGAAGAAGAAGAAGAAGAAGAAGAAGAAGAAGAAGAAGAAGAAGAAGAAGAAGAAGAAGAAGAAGAAGAAGAAGAAGAAGAAGAAGAAGAAGATAGTATGTCATATTTTACAGTGTACATCAGAAGGTTGCGATATCCATAATACCGAGCCTAAGGGTTAACAACTCATGGCTTCTGGATACTAAAACAAACAAACATACGGTGGATCCCTCGAATTGTATAATTAAATTATGATTTAATCATCAAATACAAAATCGAATAAAATCTCTGGAAATGTGCATGCACAAAAGAATAGGTCCTTTTTTATGAAAACAAACACAGACAGGCGAGGAACCAACAGTCTGCTTAGAGATGAGCCAGATTTGTAAAACGGATGCACACACAAAATTCTCAAATTCTAAAGCAATTCTAAAGTCCAGAAGTGGATGAACACCCAAAACTTTCCTCAAGAGTTTACAGCCGGTGAACTCGAAGAAGAAGGAGGAATCCGTAGTAAGGCAAATGTTTAGAATTGGCCTGGGCTCCTTACTAGGTAATTTTTCGTTCAGTAACTTATCGTAGCATTGCACTGTCGACACCATCGCAAGACGGTATGTTGCCACATCGTCTGCAGCTAGGATAGAACCCGACATCTTGGCACTACAAAGCGCTGCAACGCCTAAGCCACTGTAAGTGAAGTAAAGACCTTTTTCCACGCCTTCAGGGTATTGGGCATATAGGGCTAGACCTGTATTTTATAGACCAATCGGCACTTGGTGGGTGATGTGGTCAATATCACCCTGGCTGTCTTTACTTCCCAAGACTTTACCTAGTACCCACTGAATTTTGGGCCATTTTTGAAAGGAAAGAAAAAGACCTGAATCACTACCTTCGTAGCACAAGGCAAGTGTCTAGCCTCTACACCATTAGGACTCCATGAGGCCACTGTATTACAATGTTATTGCGGCTTTCATTCCAACTGTGCAAAAGTGAAGGATAATTTCCATGTCACTGGCCACTCGGGTTTATGATGCTAGCGTCAGTTTTATCTCTTTGGGTCCCGTCCCAAGCAACGCCGGGTATGCAAATGACTTTACCCGATGATATGTACTTTCTTAATTTATTTTTTAATATTTCGATAGAACATACTAAAAAATCTGGCTTGCCGATTTAGTCACTAACACTGTGTATATTGCCACTTTGCATTTAATAAGTTCTGCTGTCTAAAACACTCTGGTACCCAAATAGTTAGAGACTAACCGGCACTCAGTTGATGGCGTTGTAACGCTGGTCGTCTTTACTTTCCAGGAAGAACTTGGTACCAATTACGGGCTAGGTAAGCCTCGTCATAACAATCCATTGATGCTGATTTGAACTCAAGCAATAGCACTAAGGCAGCTTCCCTTTCTTTAGTGTTAATAATGACTGACTGACTTTCTACCCCACCAGGACATCACACAAGCGATAAACACCCGATGACACAATGTGCCACCATGTGGGTGAGGATCACCGCAAAGAGGTCCCAGTAACCGCATCCAGCCATTAGGCCATATTTATGGCCAGGCTATATTGCGGCCCCTGGCAAGAGCCAGAGTAGGGCTTCAAAAAAAAAAAAATTTCACTCTAAAAAGGACGGGAAGTAATTAGTAACACAATTTTAACAATTAATACAAAAGTGTATTATCTTTTCTCAGGTATCAGCAATAAATGCTACTCTAAGTGAAGCAGCCAAACGGGTCCATCAAGTTTCGTTAAATGTATCTGTATACTACAACGGAAACGAATATTTCTAAACTCAATAAATATGTTTTTCTTTCTCGCTTAGCTTGATTTGGCCTCTTGATTTCTATGCTATTCTACATGTTGTTGCAACATCAGTTTTTGTCTGGGAAAGATATAAACCCGAACGAAAATTATATCAGAGAGCTTCACAATATAACAAACACGGCTATGTAGCCCTCATCGGCACATACATAAATTAGACAATACAACACTAATACACAATATCAGTTATCTTTATATCTAGTAGCAGCCAGCTTGATGTCTAGCCAATAGACTGGCGGGACACGTGGGGACAGGAAAATAAATATCCCGGGGAAAGCCAGGGGTCGTAACTCAATGAAAAGCTTAATCTGTATAGACGGTTCAGTCTCCAAGGATTCTAGGTGAAGCTGTGTTGACAGTTTAGTCCATTGGGTGCCTGAGTTCCCAAAGTGCATATAAAGCGATTTTAAAGAGACTGTGGTGTAGATTTAATGGCTAACACCTAGATGTCGTGGACACCTTTGTGGTCCTAAGAATTAAAATGCAATGGTGCTGGTTTCAGGGCACCGTTCTGCAAATCCAAAGGATGTTGTCTGAATCTGTCAGCCAGTCGTAAACCCGTTTCACCGATGTATTTGATGCCACATCTCTTGCAATTGATGGCGTAAATGAAACTACGGCTCGTGCAATAGAATGCTTCACGTATGTTGAAGGAGGCATTCGGGAATTCCAGGCTAGTACCCTGAACCACATATGGAAAGGTCCGGCATACAGGTCTATGGCTAGAGACCGTCCCGAAGTGGGACTCCGAGGCAGGACGTAACTGACTTTAACTAGAATATCCTTGAGGTTACGGTCATGCCTGTAGGCCACTAGAGGAAGTTCAGAGAAAATCTTACTGGTGGTAGGGTCAGCCCTAAGGATGGAGGGATGCTTGAGGCGAATATTTTAGCACGGATGCTGTGAAAATGGTATGTAAGTGTGAGAATGGGTCTGTAAAAAATACAAATTTTCGTCTGGTGTTTTGCACATCTACGTGTCCGTTATACAACAAATTATGCATTATTTGTGCCTGTCGCAAACTGTATACCTGCTAATAAAACCAACGCCCACATCAAGCAATCAAAACTAAAGTATGAGTAAAATCATATCAGCAGTACAATTATATTAAAACTGCTGTTCGTTCAACTCTCAGGCATTAGCTTGAAAATAGATAATTATTTTCTTAGATTCGCAAGAGTCAGTTTTGTAACACTGTCACCTTGAACCTTTCCCTTTTCACCCACCAAATATTTTTAGATGAGGGCTGGATCACCCACCCCCACCCCTATTTGCAAATGGCTCATCCCCCCTCCCCCTTTTCCCCCAACACCAATCATTATCTAAGTTGTCGTTTCAAATATCATCTTTGTACATAGATATTATTCCAAATATATTATCTGTTGTGTGAAATCCGACGATTCACACTAGGGCAGACAGCTAATGAACAAGAGATATAACCAGAGACATGACGTCACTTGCCGACAGAAGAATTGAACAGAAGTTACAAGAAATGAGTGAATGGCAGAGGCTTGTCTTGATATGTTCTTGATGCCGCAGTGCGCGGGAGAGCCAATGCTCCAAGCTAGAGATTGGAGGTACAAGGAATTATTCTGCCATAGTTAAGTACAGTGATCTAACATATTCATTTCATGGATCCACACACATTTACATTTGGAGAGTTATTAAATTAACTTATTGAGGTTGCCTGTCGACACGTGCCCTCGAGTATAGAATTTTAAACAGTTGACTTTGTTGGTAGCGTTTTCTGCCTGTCGTTGCGGTTAGCCTTTGTTATTCCCTAGAGTAAAAAGTTACTTGGTACAGCATTGACCTGGGATGTACTTGAGCAATTATCGTCATACATTATCACATTATTTTGCCATTCAGTGCATTATTTTTATTCTTTCATATTCTTACTGATACTAGTTTGTAGCCCAGTGTCGTGGTTTTTTGTATCTGTCTTGCGCTTCTCGGGTGGGATGGGTAATGTATTTGTTTATCTTTTTGCAGGTTTCTGCTACATGTATCCATATCTTTCTTGGTCTTCCTCTCACCTTCCTCCAAGATGTTCTTCTGTTTAAAAAAAAAATCTCATGCGCAGTTTGGTCTGGCTACATTCTCACTAGATGGATGAACCATTTCATTCTCTGTCTGTCAGTATAATCCGCACATGGTCGTGTTCCGATTTTCTCTCTTATGCTGGTATTCATAACTCTATCTTCTCTTGTGTTGTTGGTGACCTTACAGAGATAGCGTATTTCACATGCTGTTATTTTCTTGTCTAGTGCCCCGTTCACTGTCTATGTTTAGCACTTCTTCTTCTTCTCTTCTTCTTCTTTTCTTCTTCTTCTCTTCCACCTTGTACCTCATCGAAGTGTCGAGGGGAGATGTAATGTTCGTTGATGATCTCTGTCAAGAGCACTATTGAGACATGATGTTCATTTCTGTAAGGCTGTTCTTAATGTCATCATTCCATATTTTCCGTGGTCTTCCACTCGCTCTATTCCCGTTGTAACGTTTTAGTGTGGCTCGCTGTGGCGGATAGTACCAGGGCATTCTTGTTAGGTGTCCAAACCACTTCATTTGTTGTTCTTTGATGACCTGTAAGACTGGCGTTATTCCTAGCATACGTCTGATTTCATGATTTCGTATTCTGTCTTTCCTTGAAACTCCTGCAGCTCTTCTAAGGCATTTCATCTCTGTTGTCACAATGTTACGTTCATTGTAGGATGTAAATGTCCACTTTTGGCATTGATAGCATAGTGTTGGCCAAAAAATAGTTCTGATAAGATTCACTTTAGTGAGTCTTATCAAAACTGTTTAGCACTGATAACATAAAGTAGGGATAAAGATGCTATTAATTATTTGCTGATTTGCTGGAAGGGAGACATTTGGGTGTCTAAGCAGCGTTGTTAACTGGTGGTGACAGCATTTGCCTTCTGTACTCTGGTTTCTATCTGTCTGTCGAGTCTGATACCCTCTGTAAATAGGAATGATCCTAAATATTTGATTTCTCGTTGTCTGATTGCAGTACCGTTAACATAACTTTCATGATATTATGTTTCCTGCCATTATTATTATTATTATTATTAATATTATTACTGAGCACTTTTTCCAACCAGCTGTAGAAGTTCCCTGATGTTTCAATTTTAACGATATCCCTTTCAGAAAAAAAAAGAAGATTAATAATCAGCCATGCGCTTTACATTGAGAAGTTTTCTGCACTGACAATTATTAAACTTTGGATTAAATGCACAAGAATGTTATTCGAGGGTGTTGACACTACAAAAAACTTCGTTTTTAGTTTTTAATGCATCTACCATTTAGTCCAGATCAGGCGTTGTCCACTGTTTGGTTCAGTGAAAGCAGATCGTCGAGGACAGAGATTCGCCACTGAAACAGAAGTGAAGACAGTTGATGTATTTATTTCTTGCAGCAGAGACAAACTTGAAAAATTGAAAATGAAAGCGTTTTCACATGGGAAAAAAAGGAAACATTAAAATGATATTTAAAAACAATACAAAAATATATTTTAATAATGAAGTAGTTGTCAATGTAACAAGGCTGATGAAAATCAATTCTACGTGCAGGGTGAGGATGACCTTTGACTCCTTAGACTCATGTAGGTTAGATCATCAGAACAAAGTAAACTTTGAAAGAAAGATGTCAGATTTTAACAGAGTATAAAGTATTTTAAAAGTATGGGGTTTCCAGTACATTTAGTGCATTTAATTGAAAATCTTTATCATGAACACAAGTAGCCATCAGATTAGCTGGTGAAACATCTGATTAGTTCGAGGTGCAAAATAGGGTGAAGCAGGGGTGCATCCTCTCACCATTCCTATTCAATATATACTCAGAAAATATAATAAGAATTCTCAAAAATTACCAGACTTGTGACAGTTATGATCCGCTCAAAATTGGTGGCAACCCTATTCCGGAACTCCGCTACGCAGATGACACAGTCCTCTTTTTGAACAGCGCAAAGGGAATAGAAAATTTAATATTGTCTGTCCAAAAGCACAGCGAAGATCAAAATCTGTTCTTGAATTTAAAGAAAACGAAAATAATGTCCACATATAAAACTGGCTGTCACCCAAAAATAACAATAAATGATGAAGAAATTGAAAATGTCACAAACTTTGAATTTCTAGGCTCTATAATAAACAACAATGGAGACTGTTCAACAGAAGTTAAAAGGAGGATGGCGATGGCAATGCAAAGATTGAACAGCCTTAAAAGTCTATGGTTAAGCACCGGCAAAGAGATAAAAATTAGAATTTTGAGAGCATGCATCTTCCCTGTGGCTACATACGGATGTGAGTCGTGGACTATCACTCAGTCCTTAAGAAAGAGAATAGGGGCTTTTGAGCTGAAATGCTATAGAAATATTCTCAGAAAATCTTGGACAAAGAAGAGGAGAAATATTGACATCTTAAAAGATCTGAAGATCAAGGAAGATTGGCTAACAAACAGTATCCTTTCTCGGAAGCTGAAATATTTTTGTCATATCAGGCGCCAAAACGGATTGAAAAAGATTATAGCAGAAGGCATGGTACCAGGAAGGAGGGGTAGGGGCCGACCGACACAAAGATGGGCACAGGATATAAGTGACTCCTTGAGTATGAAAGTGCATGAGGCGGGAGGACTGGCAAGAGACCGAGTTTCTTTCAGGCAGACTGTGATGAGAGCGACGTTCTGCAAAGGACCTGCTACATGATGGTGATAAATTATTTGACATTATTCAAACTCTTTTAGAACCTCATCATCAACCACACACTGCTTACGACTGACTATTAATAGTCTGCAACTTACCATATCATGGTTAGTTACAACTTACCATACCATGGTTAATTACAACTTACCATACCATGGTTAACTGACACTAACAACACTTTTCTGCATCTCTTCTGTCACAAAGTCTTCATTGCGACTGGAGTAACGCTAATCACAATACCCACCTAGTGCCGATTGGTCTGTAAAAATATGGGTGCTCTCCCCATATTCCCGATGCACCTAAAGGCGTGAAAGGGAAATTTTTTAACTTTTACTAATTTATATGAGTATTTGTTGAGTCGTCAATGTCAAGTGCATAAGCGGATTGAATCAGTCAGAATTGACATCACTGCATTAGGTATATTCCCACATGAGCTAGCTCTGTTCCCTTCCTCAGTGGCTTTCAAAACGATCCCTTACTGATGGTGACTGACTGACTTTCTACCCCACCAGGACATCACACAAGCGATAAACACCCAATGACACAATGTGCCACCATATGGATGAAGATCACCGTGGAGAGGTCCCAGAAACCGCGTTCAGCCATTTGGCCATATTTAAGGCCAGGCTATATTGCGGCCTCTGGTAAGAGCCAGAGTAGGGCTTTAACGAAAAATGTCATCCTAAAAAGGACGAGAAGTAGTATGAACAGAATGATGATGCCAATTGCAACCTTATTAATAACTTGCCTATTTTTTCACCTTGCACTTTGAAAGTTTTCAGTACCATCTTCAATTCCCTGCTGAATCAGTATATCTAAGTACGAATAGGTTTTTTTTTTTTTTTTCACTGCCTAATTGATGCCAGAAAGTGGTAATCGTGTCCACTTTATTATAATGCAGTTTGCCATCTAGAGGTGCAACCACAGCTAATCTATCAGTCTGTTCATTATCATACACACACAAATAATCTGGGGAGATAATCAATAATCTCTTGTTCTTAGTCTTATCAAGGGATGCAAACCACTCTGCACGTACAGCAAGTCTAAGTAAGAAAGAAATAGTATTTAGTCAGATAACGAGGAGAGAGGCAATAGATGTCTGAAAATTTCCCCGTAAAAGAGACAGACAGAAAGAAATGAATCAGAGCCGTCTAAGAAGATGAGATAAGGAAACAACTTCAACAATTGATCCAGAACGCCTTGTCCAAAGTCTCATGGACAATGAACCACTAAATTGGAAAGACTGAAACAGAAACTGACTCCTGCTAGGCCGATATAAATAATGCCTGAACAATAAGGAAAATACGAGGAAAGTTAGTGAAAGACAACACACACAAACAACAACCATTATTTTGTCCAATAATTAAGAACTTTGGTCAAAATGTTAACTTGGTGTTTGTGTGTTTTTTCCTTTCCCCCCCCCCCCCCCTTTTGCCAAGCTTTCGAGTTTCTTTGTTTAAGTTCAGTCATTATTCAGTCTTAGCAATGACTGCTCATATTTGCATCGATATCTTTAAAGAAAAAACATTGTCAGCAGACTTCTTCTTTTTCTTTGCAGTCACTGGCTGTGAACTTAGTCGCAAAATCCTAGTTGTTGAACCACTTTTTGTTTGCAATCACTGGCTGTAAACTTAGTCTCAAAATCCTAGTTGTTGAACCAGTTTTTGTTTGCGATCACTGGCTGTAAACTTAGTTGCAAAATCATGGTTGTTGAACCACTTTTTGTTTGCAATCACTGGCTGTAAACTTAGTTGCAAAATCCTAGTTGTTGAACCACTGTTTGTTTGCAATCACTGGCTGTAAACTTAGTCGCAAAATCCTGGTTGTTGAACCACTTTTTTTTTGCGATCACTGACTGTAAACTTAGATGCAAAATCATGGTTGTTGAACCACTTTATGTTTGCGATCACTGGCTGTAAACTTAGTTGCAAAATCCTGGTTGTTGAACCACTTTTTGTTTGCAATCACTGGCTGTAAACTTAGTCTCAAAATCCTGGTTGTTAAACCAGTTTTTGTTTGCGATCACTGGCTGTAAACTTAGTTGCAAAATCATGGTTGTTGAACCACTTTTTGTTTGAAATCACTGGCTGTAAACTTAGTTGCAAAATCCTAGTTGTTGAACCACTGTTTGTTTGCAATCACTGGCTGTAAACTTAGTCGCAAAATCCTGGTTGTTGAACCACTTTTTGTTTGTGATCACTGACTGTAAACTTAGATGCAAAATCATGGTTGTTGAACCACTTTATGTTTGCGATCACTGGCTGTAAACTTAGTTGCAAAATCCTGGTTGTTGAACCACTTTTTGTTTGCGATCACTGGCTGTAAACTTAGTCACAAAATCCTGGTTGTTGAACCACTTTTTGTTTGCGATTACTGGCTGTAAACTTAGTCGCAAAATCCTGGTTGTTGAACCACTTTTTGTTTGCAATCACTGGCTGTAATCTTAGTCACAAAATTCTGGTTGTTGAACCACTTTTTGAACAGAGTACTTGAGACTTGTGTGCACATCTGTTTCACTGATTTGGCTTTTATGTGTGCAGAATTTTTGTTTCTCACCTCTCAGTGAGATGCACTTGTACTTCGAATGAAACATTGATCCTGTCTACATTAGTCAAGCACCCGACTGAGAACCTGTGACTATGTTGACCATTGACAAGTGTAGGCGGGTGTCAAATAGTTTGTACTCTGGTCTTGGTGCAGCACCACATGTAGTTTAGCATCTCTGCCTTTCTCACACACTCCAACCCCATACTCAGAGAAGACATGAAGAAAGTAACAAACCAGACAATAACATACAGTTAAAAATCAGTAAACATTAAAAACATTAAGTTTTCAGAGTTTTAATTATTATCACATAATTCCTAAAAACATTTTTTTTAACTTTTAAGATTGCTTGTCTGCTTTCATTTCCTCAGTTAAGTCTCTTCTCATGGGTAGCCTCTCCAAAACCCTTATATTTATTATCGTTTCCACACAAGTTTGACATATTCTTCTGTGCATTGAATCTCCATCTATGGTCCCTTATCACTGTTTTGTTGGGTCATCAAGTTCATCATCATCATGTACCCTGCCAACTGATGCAGGCGCTCCTGCGTCTCCACAGCTCTCCCAGTGATATCCCTCCATGCCATCATTTTAGCCCATCCAGCATTATCTCTTTTGTTCTGCCTCTACCCCTTTTTCCACTTATCTTTCCAGTTGTCACGATGTTCTCCAATGTCTCTCTTCTCCTCATGTGGCCAAAGAACAGTGTTTGTCTCTTTCTTATTGTTGTATATAGAGATCTACTTTCATTAGCCTCTTTCAAGCAATCGTTGTTGGTTACTCTGGCTGTCCAAGGTATTTGTAACATTCGTCTCAGAAACCACATCTCTTTTTGCTTCCAAATTCTTTTTTAATTTGTTCAGTCACATTCCAAGATTCGCTACCATACAGCAGAACAGGTTCTATTTAACATTTTAGCACCCTCTTTCTGACATTAAATGAGAGCTATTTATTGCATAAGATATTTTTCATCAAGTTACTGTTGACTATTTGGTCAGTTTTTGTTGTTATTTTTTACTCTGGCTGACCAGACAGGACTTAAAAATGAAAAAAAAAAAAAACCTTTCCTATTTTAGGCCTGTCCAGTCAGCCCCATTTTGGATCTATGTCTGTCTAGGCCTGCCTCATTTCCCCTTTCCTGACTAAGCTCTGAAGGATGGTTTCAGAAAGGGGGGTAAATACTATTTCCACACTACTAATTTATATTCATATCTCAGTTTGATTTCTTCATTATTTATTCACTCTGCACATTTCTATTCTAAAGATTAAAGTCGAGAGGATCGACTTCATTGCACCGGGTTTTATCCCATATGTCTCAGTCTCTCTCCGCAGAATGACTAGCTGCCTGCTGAGAGCGCCGCACAGAGCACAAACTCCATAGATCCAGCGACGATCCCCAAGAATCTCTGTAAAAATTGCACTCACGAACTGAATTGCACAGCCATGAAACCAACCCACAAACTCAAGTGCCCAAGAGAAATGTCTTGACTAAACTTCTAGACTGTGTACTGTGTAAAAAAAAAAAGAATTGACAGTCGTTTCTCCTATGATGTTTATCTCTCTGGATGTTATTATTTCCTCCATGTTGTTAAAAAAATATATATTAATTCCTGTCTTTTTCTTTACTTTCATTTCATATCTATCCTTATTAGTTATTATGCCAGAATATGGTAAGAATTAAAAAAAAAAAAAATTCAGTTTGTCACAATCAACAATATTTATTCTAGATTCTTGTAGGGGGCCAGAAAATCCTCAAAGGTGTCTTGTCGTCTGATAAGTCTCCAGCTGGAACCATCTACAAGAACTTCTGCAGCTTTCATCTGAAATATTGATATACTTATCATGAGACATTTTATAAAAATGAGGGGGGGGGGCAGGAAGGAAATAAGTGGCCGGGGGAGGGGGGGGGTCTCAAGTCTAATGAGGTTGGCAATGAAACATAAAGTAGCTGATTATTACTGGCACACACAGTGAGTACACTGAGCTGTCAGAATGAGCTTAAGCTATAAGCACACTTAACTCTTTCAATCCCCTCATGTCCCAAACATTGCAACATGTTTCTTATATTTAAGATTTGCTCAGTGTATATTAAGTAAATCTGGCAACCAAAGAGGTATTTATTTCATTTATTTTTTTCCTTCCTACAAGAGAGCAGTTTGTTAGAATGTGTATGGCAATATTTAATGAAAACAGTAATGATATTTATCCAAAACCTAATGGGATTGAAAGACTTAGGGCATTTAGAAATCAGGCAAAAAACATAAATTCAACTACAGTATACTATAACAATGCCCCACCTGTGGTTGTCTAGCTGGCAGTAATAGCATAATAAATAGAGTAGATATTGTAGTGGTCCCCTTTATAGTTTACTTGACTGTGATAAGTATAGAAGAGAACTAAGTAGTGATATAATCACTTCATCATCATTATCATTATCAAGTGCCTTGCCAGCTGGCATGGTTAATCATGCCTCTTCGTAACTGGCGACCTCAAACAGAATTTATCAGCTCATGTGCTGACACCTATTCATGACATGATTAAAGGCTGCCAAAATTCTCCTTGCATTGTCTTTCTTCATCTCCTCACAAATATTTTCAGTGGTTACAGCATGTTCCAGTTTCCCTGTTTTGTGAATAAGTAAAAGTAAAGTAAAGGATCTTGCCCACATTTTCAGGGGTATTGGGCATATAGGGCTAGACTTATAGATTATACACCAATCAGCACTTGGTGGGTGATGTGGTCAGCAACACACTGGCCACCTTTACTTGCCAGGACTCCATCTGGTGCCCATTCAAAGTTGTTTGTGAAAAAGCAGCCACTATTATTCTTTACTTCAAAATGTTTCACTTGTCCAGCATGAGGATTCCTGTTCTGCTACAGAAAATCCACTCTTTCCTTTTCTTGTACTCCTGCATATTCCAGACAGTATGTCCATGTAATTCCCTACAATGCTGATGTACTGTTGCTTGGTATCTACTAATGACATATTTGTCAGTTTTGAACCTTTCACAGTACCAACTAAGAATCTTAAGTTTATTTTTTACTTTCCACCTCAGAGCTGCAGTAATTGCCTCCACCTCCATTCTCATGCTTGAAAATGTAGGGAAAAAAAAGCTCCATTTTGTTCTGCCTTGATATTTCCCTTCATTCTAGTTGCAAATACTCAGCCAGTTCTTTCACCCTGATGAACAGAACCATTTGTGTACACTATTGCATTATCTAGTCCAAGTCTTCATCTATCCGTTGTTGTATGTCTAATTCTGCCATATTGTTACACCCCTCTCTAGATACTCATTCTAATGTGAAAGTGACCTGACAGAAACTGTTTTTATGGGTGTTCATGTCAACCCATTCTTGCACCCTGTATTTACTCAACTGAGGCTGCCAGGGCAGTGGTATCTTCAGCTTGTGCCATCCATAAATTTCCTGTTTTCAACCTTCTCTCCTAAAATCATTTATATTGTTGTGCAGCAGATACCTTTCAGTAGTAACTCACATAAAGATTTTGGCTTTCGCCAGAATCAACACATGAAAATTATTTAAAATGCTCCTCTACTTTTTACTTCACTCACCATATGGTTAACAAGGCTTCTTTTTTTCAGCAAGGTATTTTACTTTTTTCTCAAGCTGTAGAAGCTCAGTATCTAGAAGCTTGCCTGCTAGCCAAAAGGTTTTGGATTTGAACACATCAAGCTGGCAAGTAAACATCTAGCCCCTGTGTCATAAAGGCTCCCAATAAAATACGTAACAACTCTGTAACTTACTCGAGCATTGTAGTTTGATGACATACTATGACAGTAAGCACCAACATCATGCACCACAAGAAATCCTTGGTCTGGATTTATCAGGAGACGATCCTGAAAACAGACTCAAACAACAATATATTTTGTTGTTGCTAAAGTGGTCAAATTTATAATAATGGGAAATTGCCACAGGTTTTGGAATCCAGTAAACATTAATGCAAATTTTTATAATTGATCCAAGTGCCAGTGTCGATCCAGACTAAAAAAGATATGTACTAGTAACTTCATGGGAAGTAAAGGTGGGAACCAGGCCGCTGACCACACTATCTACTGGATGATGGTTGGTCTATACATTTACTGGTCCTGCACCATATACCTGACCTGCCAATGATGTCTCCAGGGACCTTTGTGTACATTTTACTTTTGTATAAAGTAAAGTAAAGAGCCTCTTCCCCACGCCTTCAGACAAATTGGGGGCATATAGTACCAGACAAAACTTTATAGACTAATCAGCTGGTGATGTGGTCAACATTCTGCAGCTGCCTTTACTTCCTAGGAGTTTACAATTATGAGACTTCAAAAACCAACCCTGGCATTTATTGGCCAAGTAGTTTTACTAGGCAATGTCACAGCATTTGGTGAGCATATGGCAAGCATCGCTTCAGAGGTTCCCAGTAGTTAAATATCCTTTGGATATTTTTTCCAGGTTACATCAGTGTGTTGGGAAATGAATAGGCAGACAGTTTGGCTGGTTCTGTACCACTTGCTGGTGAACTGATGTACGACAAGCTGAACATTGTATGTGTCTTTTCAAAGTGAGTGAAAATTGCATGCCATGTCATACGCACGCTGCTATACCTGATGTGAGACAGATGGACAACATGTTTATACAAAGAAAAATATCTTTGGTTGTTGTTCAACCCCACCAGGACTGTACAACGAGCGACCAACACCCGGTGATACAAAGTGCTACCATTTGGATGAGGAATCTCCTAGGCACAAGTACCAGCAACCCTGTTCAACCCAGTTTTGTTATATTAGGGCCCTCTGACTACAGCCAGGGTGGGTCTTTAAAATAACAAAAAATATTGTGTCCTATATTGGGATGGTAAATATAATATCTTTGTTTCATTCATTAATGCCTGTAGCTAATACAACTTTTTTCAGTGTAGGTGGGGTGGGGGAAATCATGCATATGGAACTTAACTTATGGAACAAGACTAAAGTCCAGGGGTCGGCGAACTACCAGAACTTTCCGCAGTAGTTTACTACAAGTTAAAAATTAAGAAAAAAAAAAGAGAACTGTAATGTCTAAATCATGAGGCTCAATCGGTTCCTGTGCCAAAAATTCACACTAAACAAAACCTGAACTTGAACAGAAAGCACGAGTATTGCTGGTCCAACTGAAGGCATCACAATCAATTTGGTGATGGATGATGAAAGTTATAGTGATTGTCTCTGACAGTGGATAAAACACACAACCATTTACCTGGTACAAAACTACGGCTAAGCAATGGGAGGTAGTTGACATGCTTTAACTATAAGTAAAATGCTCTTAAATGACAAGATTTCAAGTACCAAAACATGTGTGTACAGACTGAATGGCACTGATTTTGAAACTACTCAGTGGTTTACCAGTCCAAATTGGCTGTAGTGTGTGAACATGCTGTGCTACTTTTGCAGTCACATGGTGCACTAGGTTTCTCTCTGCCACTAGAAGACACAAACTGGTCAAAGCCTTGCTTATACTAAGCACACAGACCAGGTGATAATAAAAGCAAAACGGGGTTTGGCAGCAATGAGAGTGATGGTGGCAGCAAACTGTGAGCAGTGGCATTTATGTCTTCTATATCAGGGTCTGGTACTTTCTGTCTTTGAGTATTTGATGACAATCCTGATTCTCAGCCACAAGGAGATGGAGAGGATGAAATGAATACAAAACCAGGCTTTACGCTTTTTACTTGGATGTAGAAGAAATACAGCATGTATGGCGATGCACTAACTTCTTTATTTTCCGACCATGGAGAACAGAATTCAAATTTGCCAAGCATGTGTCTAACTCAGAGAACTCAGACACATGACACTGCATAATTAAATTTAAGAAGGAAAAAGGCAGTAGGCAAAAAGACGAAAATTGTAGATGGCTGAGGCCGAGGACATTATTAAGCAGTGTGCTCTCTTGACATAAAACCTGGTTTGGAAGAGGTACAAGTACCAAATGAGTGCTGTACGACCTTCTCTGTTTGCATCCAATGACAGAAAATGCAAGATTACAAAGTCCTACCACTGTGGAGGCAGAAGTGCAGGCTTTGATTCTCAAGAATTCTTCAGAGGGGGACGCTGTAATTTATACAGTTGGCTTTGTGGTTAGCCACATGAGAAGATTGTGGGCTTTGACAGCTCAGTTTGGAGTTGGAATTGTGAAGCAAGATTTTGGTGCTTTCACCTTGACTACAAGTAGTCTGATTATGGAGGTCATGGTAGTTGCAAAGCAAAGACATGGCTGTTGTTGCAAACTTTTACCCATTTTCTTCTCACTTACTATCTCTCAGTATATTTGCTCAAGTAACACAGAACAATTACCTTGCCAATAAAGTCTGCACTTTCACACACTGGGCCCACAATATCATAAACATGTTTGCATCCAGAACTGGATCCTAGAACTGTCACATGATGGTAAGATCCATACAAACAGGGACGAATAACTTCTGTCATGGATGCGTCTGTTATTACATACCTTTTTTAAAAATAAACACCAGGATTTATTTCAATTATTTTATTCCATGTCAGAAACTGACATTAAAAAATTCGGTAAAACAATAAATAAGATGTTGGTGGGCGAATTGAAAGAAATATATGATAAAAAGACTGAATTAACAATAAAAAATTCCAGGGAACAAATTAAATAATGAAATTCTGTAATTTAAAAAAAATTAAACAATATTTAATCTTTTAAAAAATTATAATAAAAAAACAAATAACTGATTGAAATAATACAAGAAAAAAATAACAAGAATTAAATTAAGGATTAAAAACATGTCAGGGGAGAAAAATTATTTAATAATAGGAGATATTTTTAAAAAAAATGAAACATAGTGCGGAACTAATGAATGGAATGATGAACAAATTAATGTACAATAAAGAAGGAAGAATGGAAAGTAACAAGGAAAGAAAGAAAGGGAAGACAGAAAGAAGGACGGAAAGGGAAAGAAAGAAAGAAAGAAAGAAAGAAAGAAAGAAAGAAAGAAAGAAAGAAAGAAAGAAAGAAAGAAAGAAAGAAAGAAAGAAAGAAAGAAAGAAAGAAAGAAAGAAAGAAAGAAAGAAAGAAAGAAAGAAAGAAAGAAAGAAAGAAAGAAAGAAAGAAAGAAAGAAAGAAAGAAAGAAAGAAAGAAAGAAAGAAAGAAAGAAAGAAAGAAAGAAAGAAAGAAAGAAAGAAAGAAAGAAAGAAAGAAAGAAAGAAAGAAAGAAAGAAAGAAAGAAAGAAAGAAAGAAAGAAAGAAAGAAAAATGACTCAAAAAAAAAAGAAAGATAGACAGGTTGACATATATAAGTAATTAAATCAGAAGATTTTAACGGCATATTAAGCTAACTGTTTATTATTCAATTTGTATGTCTGAAATATGCTCATGAGATCTATGTTTCTGCCCTTATCTGAGCCAGTTAGGCACCTGCCACACGTGGATTCATACCCACTACCTTCAAGTTGCTAAGATTAACCAAATCTCCCAGATCAACCCAGCTTGACTTTGGCTTGCATCCACTTGATTTCATCATAAGTTTACATTTTTGAGCTTTTACTATATGCACTTGTCTATCATTTGTGCTGGGTTTTTAAAATCAGTTTTCATCCAGTCCTAGTTGTACACTCTCTCTGACTGTTTACTATCTAGTCTTGATGTTATCCTCCAATTTATTGTACTGTCTACCTCTTACCTGTCTAACTCTAGTATTGTTTACACCAGCCACTGAGTGCTGAATTGGAAGGTCGTGGGTTCGGGTCCTGACAGAGCATGACTTTTTTTCAAAAATGACCTTGGCTCCCAGGTCGACCCAGCCTTAAGTGGGTACGAGGTGAACCCACCGAGTGCCAATTTGTCTATAAAACATAAGTCTAGCCCTAAATGCCCAACACGTCTGAGGGCAAGAGCAGGGTCCTTTAATTTTTACTTTTAACTGAATCCTGGCTGGACTATGTAAGTACTGGGTTAGTATCATTTACTCAATAGATCCCAAGTTATGAAAATTTGAATTTTATCTTTGTCGTACCTTTCTGTCACTGTACATGATTGTGTTATATTCTGCTGTAGTGTAGCAAAGGAATCACAGTCCATGGGAAGGCAAGTGTGACAAGACCTGCCCATGCTAGCTCTCTTGTCATGAAAAGCACAAAAACCTAAGGCTTCAGGTTTGTGCCACTGACCAATAAATGTTCCTTTCCTTGTTTGTTATAGAGGTTTTTATTTCTTAACAAGCAGCCCCTCTAACAGCATTGCTTCAGGGACAACTTTCAGAATTGCTTCAGGGGCAACTGTCAGCACTGCTTCAGGGACAACTTTCAGCATTGCTTCAGGGACAACTTTCAGCACTGATTCAGGGGCAACTGTCAGCATTGCTTCAGGGACAACTGTCAGCATTGCTTCAGGGGCAACTGTCAGCATTGCTTCAGGGGCAACTGTCAGCATTGCTTCAGGGGCAACTTTCAGCACTGCTTCAGGGACAACTTTCAGCACTGCTTAGGGACAACTTTCAGCACTGATTCAGGGGCAAAATTCAGCAATGCTTCAGGGGAAACTGTCAGCATTGCTTCAGGGGCAACTTTCAGCACTGCTTCAGGGACAACTTTCAGCACTGATTCAGGGGCAACTGTCAGCACTGCTTCAGGGGCAACTTTCAGCACTGCTTCAGGGGCAACTGTCAGCATTGCTTCAGGGGCAACTTTCAGCACTGCTTCAGGGACAACTTTCAGCACTGATTCAGGGGCAACTGTCAGCATTGCTTCAGGGGCAACATTCAGCACTGCTTCAGGGGCAACTTTTAGCATTGCTTCAGGGACAACTTTCAGCACTGCTTCAGGGGCAACTTTCAGCATTGCTTCAGGGACAACTTTCAGCACTGCTTCAGGGACAACTTTCAACATTGATTCAGGGGCACCTTTCAGCACTGCTTCAGGGGCAACTTTCAGCACTGCTTCAGGGGCAACTTTCAGCACTGCTTCAGGGGCAACTGTCAGCATTGCTTCAGGGGCAACTGTCAGCATTGCTTCAGGGGCAACTTTCAGCATTGCTTCAGGGGCAACTTTCAGCACTGCTTCAGAGGCAACTTTCAACATTGATTCAGGGGCACCTTTCAGCATTGCTTCAGGGGCAAGTTTTAAGAATGTTAACTGGCATAGCTGCTAAAAATAGCATTTACCTGGGGATTTCCTTGTGGAAAATGACTATTTATATGTTTGGCAGATGTACACCGACTTTAAAAGAAATACCCCTAATTAGTTGCCCTCGATAATATGGTTGTTGGGGGGGGGGGGGGGAGAGAGGCAGTGTTCTATTCTTTGTTTGCAGCCCTGGAACTCCATAAGGAGAACACAGGCTTGAAAGACAAGACCTTTATCTACTTTTCACTTATACTGTCAATAAGGTTAATGACCGTAGTACATACAGCCTAAATTGACCGTTCTATTGTTTGAATTCATTAATCATTAAAACAAAAAGACAAGACAAAAACATAAGGAACTATCTTTTGCCTTTGGTCTATGCTACCAGTGTTAAACATGGACTCTTACTTCAACTAATAAGTGCACACACATGACAATGAGATGACATGTCTTAAAGGAGCTGCCAGAATAACAAGCAAAGACACAAATTAAAATTAATAAATTAGAAGACTTGAACTGAAAACAGTCAGACAGTTCAATAAAAATCAAGAGACGAGATGGTTTTATGTTCTGATGAGAATGGCCTGGCACCAGCTGCCACTGAAAACCATGCTGAAGAAATATAACTGAACTCAGAGTAAGGGAAAGACCACAAGAAATATGAAATGGCGGCATCAAGAACACTCTTAAAGAAATTAGGATCAACTTATACAATGTGGTTAAGGCAAAAATCTCCCAAAATTTTAATGAGATAACTGGAAGAGGGAAAAAGAAGAAAAGGAGGAAGAAGAGGACAATTAATCATGTCTGCCTGCTATATCACCAAGTGATACTCACCTTTTATTTGGGGTTGACTTACAGCCCAACACTCGTGCCAGCAAGACAGCTGAGTTAGCTACCAATGACCGGCCTGGCTCCAGCATCAGTGTAACTCCTGTGTCTTTCAACAGACCACTAATTGACTGGACAAGATCTCGAGGGGAGGCATGGTGTGGCTATAGGAAACAATAACAACAGTCACATTTACTTTATACATGACACTTATACATTCAGGAAATAAGCAACGAAAGATTTTAAGAGATTTTGTCATATAATTCACATGTATATTTTTGGGGGAGTTTTCATAATACTAGGAAATTTAGTTTGACTGGTCAAGATCTCGACGGGATGTGTGGTGCTGCTATAGTGAATAATAAAAATAGTCATGTTTAATTTGACTGACTGACTCACTTTCTACCCCACCAGGCCATCACACAAGCGATAAACACCTGATGACACAAAGTGCCACCATGTGGGTGAGGATCACCGTGAAGAGGTCCCAGAAACCGCGTATTAATGGCCAGGCTATATTGCGGCCCCTGGCAAGAGCCATAAAGGGCTTCAAATAATGTTAAATTTCATACTAAAAAGGACGGAAAGTTATATAGGCAATGTTTAATTTATACATGACATAGATAAATACAGGATACAACAAACAAAAGATCATGGTCACAAATATTTGATGTATGATATTAATCATAATCTCTAATGGTGAGGCATGATCAGTCTGCATGTGTAAGTGCTAGAAGTAACAAATACCTTAGAGAGGGTTTTATGTGATATTTCTCTTTTCATCGCTTGGCTGTTGATAGTATTTATGTGCAGCTAGCATTGTAGTAAAAATAACTAATCGGTTTCACATATTACAGTTTCTGCAAGAGTAAGGGAAGCAGGCACTGAACAATCTCTTTGCTATGTAAAGTTGCAAACCAAGTGGTGTATTTGTAATAAACTAATAAACAGTAACAATTTAAAGTAAAGAAAATGCATTTTCATTTGGCAATGGAAAGTGTAAGTGGTGTTTGCGGCCATTACCCACATGCCTCACAACTGTCATAGTTCCCATAACACAGAGTATTGTTGGGTCACCATTTGCTGCTGACTGTTAGATCAGATCCATCGGCTTCTGATTTTTACATGCACAGAACTTGATGTTTTCATTTTTGAAAACACAGTATTCATAATGTATTAATAAACAACTAAATAAGAACTCCTACCCAGAATGTTAATGAAAACAATGCAGAGATAACTTATAAAAATGCACAATAAAAGGTAGCATGGAAGGAATGACGCTTGGTCTAAAGTAAAGGTGTATTGGTCATATAGGGCGAGACCTATATTTTATGGATGAATCGGCGCTCATTGGGTTATGTGACTGAGGTCATGCCGGCTATTTTTATTTCCCAGGACTCTGCCTACTATCCATTAAGGCTAGGTTGACCTGACAGGAAAAGTCATTTTTGAAAAAAGTTCAGCTCCACCAGGACTTGAACTTGATTTGAACCCACGTCCTTTAGATCCACAGGTGAGCATCTAGCTGCAGCACCACACCGGCTCCCTTGGTCTGAAGCATATTCATAATCAACATGGAAAGCTGGATGAAAGTGAACAAAACATATGCCAAAAGGAAGATGTGACTATAGTTTTCCACCTCCTGCAGACTACCTTCTTTCCAATCTGCTGGTAGGTCAGTCTTCCAGTATTAATGTTTCAAAGATGTGTTAGCATTTTACTGATAACTTAGCTTCCTGCATATTTAAAACAAAACAAAAAATTGTTCTCACCGCAGTTTGTGTCAGAGATGGGCACAGTCTTCCAACGTCTTGTCTCAATGCAGGTAGAAGACACAGTTTGACATTCATGGCTTCTCTCATTTCAAAGAAACTGATTCTGTAAACATGAACAGCAAAATTACTTTCTTGTATTTTGGTAATATCAAGAAAAGATATAAAACCAAACAAAAAGCATTTCAGGAAACTTCACAATATAACAAACACAAAGAAAACGTGAACGTAAAGAGCCTTCATCAGCACATACATAAATAAAACAATACCACATACACACAATTTTTGTATTCTTTAAATTTTTTTTTGGTAAGCAGGACATTAATTACACATGGGGGAATTTTTAAAATAATTACTCATAAACCACAAACATTCAATAACTGGTGCAGAGAGGGGTAAATTAAATGGTATGACAGAATCCTGAAAGTGAAGCTTTAGGAAACAACTAAACAAATTGCTGTGAATGATGAAGTGGACAAATGACACTGACATCTGGTGGGAATTGAGACAATCTTATAACTAAAATGTCCTTGCAGTAGAACTCATAGGGTCGAGGGAATTAGGGTTGGCAAAAAAACTTATGGAGAAATAAATGCAACAAATGTGAAAAATACAGTGAGAACATGAGGTGAGCTCAAAGTAATAGCAAATAACAAGATGACTTGGTGAAAGTGGGTCAAGTGCTTTTGCTCCATTGGAGATTAAAGGGTAATAAATTATGTTATAAACCAGGTATACTTGATAATTAAATGTAATAAACCTTTCTTCTTTGTAGTCTGTGATTAATTCTGCCATTGATTCCATTATACTAGCTACATCAACTGAGCTCAGTTCATCTGTTCTCTGCTGAAACTTTGATTCTGGAGGTAGAAAAACTGTTGCAATGATATAGCTCTAATTGATAAAATATATGTCATATACACATAAACATTTGTGATATTGTAGATCTTCTTTTTTGCACTAACTTGCTGTAAACTCTGGCAGAAAGTTCTTATTGTCCATCCACTTCTTGAATTTGTTCTTGTTCCAGAACTAGAGTTTTACATGTACATCTATTTTATAGATCTGGCTTATTTGGATGCAGACTACTGGTTCCTCATCTCTCAAAAATATGTACTTGACTTCGAAGGAAACACACATAATAAGTTTTCTTTTACAACATGAGTTTTGAGGTTTGCTCATTAGGGGGGCAGTGTCTATTTTTTTCCCCAGTATGGAGCTCCAGAACTCAAAGTGGAGCACATGTATTCTAATCTCAGTAAGCCTCAGAATTTTTTTTTTTCTCAAATCCAAGTCTGCACAGTAAACGGGAACAGCCTGTGTAAGCTATCTTTATTTCCTAATCGTGTTAACAGCTATTCTAGAATTAAAACATGATAGCTCATTATCAGTTGTGTAGTGTATTATGTACTCTAAATACACTGTTGCTTCAATCTACAAAGGGATGTAACTACGGGAAAATACCAGTAGTTTTTTTTTTTAATACTTACTTCCCATGAAATAAGGGGTACTAGAGAAAACTAATTGTATTTGTCGTGGGTGCTGGAGAGAAAGAGCAGCAGAAAAAAAAACAATGCTGGAAAGATTGGCAGATAAGACATAAATTTTTTCTGAGGTGGAAATTATCTCTACCTGTTAAACAGATAATATATAACATTAGATTATAGCTTAAAGATTATTCTTTATTCCAAGCAATGCACCACATGTATTTGGTTTTTATCCATGTGTACCAACCGATGCATGGTGTCTGATTATGTCTTTAACATTTTGTTTGCAGCATACTAAAGACATCTGGCTATGTTGACATCTGACTAAACTTTGTTGGCAAGTGCAGAGCTATCATGTCTTTCTTTTAAAAAAAAACACTTGGTTAGATATGTTGATATTTCATCTTTGTAAGTAATGAAGTCATGCTTTTTAATTTTTTTTTAACATTGCAGTTGATGAACTAGTTTGGCATCTTTTTCAAATGTGTATAGAACTGAAAGAGTTAACTTGGGGAAATCACATTTAATAAGAATTATATTATTTACAAACACGTACTCTGAAAAAGTAATTGGCTGGAGGATAATAATTAGTCTTCCAGCACCAACTGACAATTTAATTACCTATCTAACAATAAAGACTGGAACTGGAATTCTGAACTTGCTGCTGAAGATTGGAACAGAGTGCTTATGGGAATGACCCAAGTTCTATAATGTCGATTATCAACTAAAAATTCAACTAACTATTTAGAATAGCTGTTACCTATAGTAACAAACGTTTAAATCTGAAGAGGTTCATATAGAAACACCATAATTTAAAAGAATTAACCATTTTGGAATAAAGTGGATAAGTGTGACCACTGTATTGAGCACATTCATTTAATAAAATATCATGTAAGGTGTAACTTGGGAAAAAGTAACTTGTAAATGTATATTAGTTGATTAGTACTTTTGATGTGTGGATTCTGGGGCCCTGTCTAGGAGGAAAAAAGAGTATACCCACTTCCTCTTTAGCAATATTGTAAAGGCTGACTAATAAGGGGTTTTTCCTCCAAAGTTGGAGCAGATCTGCCTGAATGGCGAGCAACCAAGAGTCTGCATACAAGTAATCCAGATCTGTAATATGGATGTGTACATGAAATTCAAGTTCTGGAACAAAACTGAAGACCAGAAGTGGATGAACAATCAGAACTTTACAGCCAGTTAAGAAGAAGAAACATTTGATACTGACTGAGTTAAAGTCTGTGTTAGCACATCAGAATCATGGGTAACTTTAAACTAATAAAATCTGTTTTACTTTCACTATAAAGCAACAAAAATTGTCTCAATTCCAGAAGATTATGAGCAGTTAACTCTGTCTCGCTGCGCCATGATCTAGTTTCGACTTCCTGAAATAAAAAAGGCTACATTTTAACAAATGATTTTTCTATAACTTTTTTTCAACTCTTTCATCAACAGACATGAACACAGAGCAAGGGGAAGACCACACAAGAGATGGAACAACACCATCAGGAGCAACCTAACAGAAATAAACACACATTTGTACAATGTATTTGAAAAAGTGCACAAATGATCCTTACGTTTCCCTCCAACACCTCGCTGAGGTAAATGGTGGAAGAGAAGAAGAAGCCATAGACAGGTGTTACTTAAAAGTATCATATGCCAAGAAATCACTATAACTAATAAAGTGACGGTTTTGATTGGATCAAAGTAATGACACTATGAGACAAAAGGAGATTAAGTAACAACTGGAAAAGATTGGGTTAGTCAAATAACTTGATGGGCTTAATTAATTTTTTATTAAGAATCGACATCACAGCACTCGGGTCATAAATATAAACGCTCTGTGCTCTCTGGTTGGCCTTCTTTTTCAAGATGGTGACACCACATGTTTGCAGGTCTGTCTGGATATTATCTTTCCATCTTCTTGGTCTGCCACATGGTCAACGACCATTTAGTTCCTTTTGGTATTCAGTTTTTACCTCTCCGTCCTCTGACATTCTCTCAAAATGCAGCAGCTATTTCAGTCTATAAGCTCTCATGATGCCAGTGATCAGTGGTGTTTTAAACATATTATGAATTTTGTTGTTGCTTTTCACTCCCCAGAAGGTGTCTCCACCTTGCCGTGGTGGGGGAGCTTGTGTTTCTCAATTACCCTGAGAGCTATGCTAGCAGTAACATAGCTCTAGAAAGACCTCCCAAGCTGGGAAGGTGAAAGGAAGAGAACAACAAAGAAAACGCTGGTCCTCCATTTGGAGGTTGAAGCATGGGCCAACATAACCACCTATGTAAAACTTAATTTTATCACAAAACTGATTTCTAAGCCTCAATATTATTTTGGTATTTTACATTATTTATTAAAGGCATTGATAAGTCAGGTAAGCACAGACCTAACTTCATAGCAAAATGGTCACAGCGTAATTACTCCATTCCTGTGCCAAACAAAACCACAAAGAATGTCCATCTCTGTCCCTTGTGGGAAAACTGACACAGACTGCGGTCTCCCTAAATTCAATAGCATACACATGCCATCATAAGTGCCAGTACAAACAGTCCAACACTAGAACTGCAGAAGGTCAGTGGTTGCATACACAGTTAATCACACAAGGCACCACCAGCTGTCTAGCAACAGGCCACCTGCCATTTTCTGAATCTACAGTTCACAACATAAACCTTGTTGGGCACAGCTGAAAAGCATTCTTAACTAAATCTGCAGCTCACAGTGTCATGCCATGCACTCAGCTCATCAGCTAGGTATTGAAACTATATCCTTTCAGTCAACATTTGGAGGAAAATGCAACAGCCAGCTATTGTCAGAAGCAAAAACTTGCAACAACTAAAACCAGAAAACCGCCTATCCTCCATATTGACTGAAAGAGTGATACATACAGTTAGTAACAAGCAACTGACCAAAATCTTACCTTCTCTAGATAATCAATGCCAAGACCACCTCCAACATTCAGAATATTCAGCTCTGTGAATCCTCTGTGGACAAGTTTCTGTCGTATGTGTAGCAATCTCCTTGTACAAAGTCTGGTAACATTTGTTTCAAAAAGACATTACATGGATCACATTACAGCAGTTTGACATGTTCATTTTTATTTAGAATACTTACTTCACTGACAATTACTGCCTCTATTATACCACTTTTGGGGTGTAGGTCATTGTGCCTGAGGATTTAGGGCCGCATGGCTAGTGCTGTCGCCACAGACTGTGCAGGTGATAATTTTATTTTGCCCCCCGACAGAAATAGATCCCCAACCTTATCGAGGATTCAAACCCTGGTCTCCCACAGGAGAGCCCAGCATTCTAACTGTGCAGCCAGCCGCTCCTCTAGAATAATAGCACTGTACTTTTACTTAATCTACATTTCTATGTGTAATAAGATGTATAAAGATCTAACACCCTTTCAACAACAATATTACAGGGCTCAGTAGAGAGAAAGAGAAGAAGAGTCAGACCTAGAAAGACCTGGATACAGAACCTGACTGACTGGACAGACCTTAAGCATGCAACCGTGAACTCTACTGCAACTGACCATCACAGGCTGAGGGAGCTGATCAGACAGTCAACAGCAACTTGTGATCCAACAACATCCAGTGTTACAGGATGATGATGATGACAATTCTAAGTAAGGTCTACTGCAGTTCCAAAATGTCAAAATGCTTTCCTATAAAGTAATAATGATGTATGTCAGTAAAATGTATGATGTGACATCTACAATTCTGGACTTATTAAAATAATAGATGAGCCCCTTAAATAAGAACAAGAATCATAAATAAACAGACCAAAACCACTAATATCAATCAAATGGATGCAAATACCAGACCAGGAACATAAAGGAGAAACAAAATTATGAATATGATAGACCAAATAATAAATCAGAATAAATATCATGAAAGAAACCAAACCGAACCAATAAATCAGAACAAGCATCATGAAAGAAACAAAATCAAACACAACAATCAGAAAATCTTGAAAGAAACAAAACCAAAACCAATAAATCAGAATAGTTATCATGACAGAAACAAAACAAAACCAATAAATCAAAATAAGTATCATTTTTTTTAAAAGCCAAACTTAAAAATAAAAAAACAGAACCATGAAAAGAACAAACAAACCATAAATCATAAGAAAAATCATGGACAGACCAAAACAAAACCCATAAATCAGAATCAGAACCATGAATTTAAGAAACAAACCCCATAACTCAGAAGCAGAATACCTCCATTGTTGTTTAATATCCATGTAGCGGTATTCTTACCCTTTGCCAAGTGACGTGTGTTGTAACTGAAAATCATCAGGTTCATATTAACTGATGTTTGTTGTGTACTGTAATAGTGAGTTTTGTTGAAGTGCTGTAGTGAAATGTTTTGTTGATAATATATAGTAGTATATTATTATGAAGTGCTGTCATAGTATACTGTGTTGATGTGATATAGAAGTGAGTTATGTAAGAGTAAGTAGTATGTTGCATTGATATGCTATGGTAAATAGTTGTGTTGAAGTGCTGTATTAATAAGCTATGCAGGAGTGCTGCAGAGGTAAATGGAGTTGGAGTGTCATAGTAGTATACTTTGTTGAAGTACTTCAGTAGCGAACTGTGCTGAACTGCCATAATAAGTTGCATTGAAGTATTACAGTAATATATAGTGTTTGTCTTCTTCAGTATTATAAGCCCCTGAGGCTCACTGCTACAGATATCACCCACCTCCGTTCAATTCTGTGATTGGCCTTCTCATTCCAGTTTTTTTTCTTTTTCTTCTTATTCACAGGCTGTAAACTCCAGCAGAAAGTTCTGGTTGTTCCTCCACCTCTGGACTTTAGACTTGTTCCCGGGTGTTGTGGGCACATCCATTTTATAGATCTGACTTTTCTGTATGCAGACTGCTGGTTCCTTGCCTTTCAGGCAGATGCACTCCAGCTTTAAAGGAAACCCCCAAATAGTCGACTCTGACATGGTTGTTGGGGAGGCAGTGGGTCTATTCTTGGTTTCACCACAATGGGGCCCTGGAACCCACATGGGGGATCATTCCAGGTTGTGAATCCAAGTGTTTGTAGATCTGCATATTTATTATCTCTCCACCATCTTCTTGGTCCATAGCATGGTCTACTTCTATTCAACTCTTTTGTGTATGCAATTTTTGTCTCTCTATTATCTGGCAGTCTTGTCACGAAACAAATATCTTAGTATCATGAGAGCTAATAGACTGAAACGGTTGGGGTATATTGAAAGAATGTCAGATGACAGAGAAGTGAAAACTGTATACACAAGGGAGATGAATGGTCACAGACCATGAGGCAGACCAAGAAGACGAAGGTGAGATAATATCCAGACAGACCTGCAAACACTTGGTGTCACCAACTGGAAAGAAGGCCAACCAGAGAGATGAATGGAGGAGGGTGATATCTGCAGCATTGAACCTCAAGGAGAATGCTGAAGAAGAAGAAGAAGATTATCTGGCAGTGAATATATTGCTTTTCACTCTCCATTCTCCACTGTTTGCATCTTTGATGAGTCTGAAACTTCATCCTAAGACTGTTCTCAAAAGTTTGTAATAAGGCTTTTTCTCTTTTAGTTGTAATCTAGGTTTCAGAGCCATACAGCACAATTGGTTGTAGTTTTATATATAATGATCTTAATGTTACAAGATAGAGTATTTGATCTTAGCAGATGTTGTAGAGCATTCATTAGTTCATTAATTATCAACTTGTGCCATTATATGTCACATAGGGCTCACAAGTTTTTACTCCATTCCATTCTATCCAGTCCAATCAGTTCAATATCATGGATGAAATCCAATCCAGCCCCTTGGCCTCTCATCAATGTCCATTTTAGGGGTTTTTTTTTGCGCTTGCTCACCTCCTTATTCCTCTATTTCCCATTACAGCGCCTGTTTGATGATTCTCTGCTGATTTCATTTCAAGATGTTTCTAATGTAGTGCCATCTTTTTTGTCTTATTGCTGTTGATACCAATGGTTGCCCAGACATTTCTCTTATTTCGTCACCCTTCTTAAATTCATCCTATTTTATTTTCTTCATTTTCCTTCGGGCATTTGTTTCTGAATGCATTTAACTTTAGTTTCATGTTATTAGTGGTTCTCCAAATTTCACTGACATATGTTGAAACTTAAATAATATTCTTCTTCTTTTCTTCTACCATTTACCTCAGCGAGGTGTTGAGGGAGATGTAAGGATCATTTGTGAGCTTTTTCCAATGCATTGTACAAGTTGGTAGGTGTTTTTTTACTCTTAGATTGCTCCTGATGATGTCGCTCCATCTCTTGTGTGGTCATCTCCTTGCTCTGTGATCATTATATTTCTTCAGCGTGGCTCTCTGTAGCAGTTGGTACTAGGGCATTCTCGTCTGGTGGCCAAACCATCTCATTTGTTGTTCTTTAATGAACTGTATGACTGGTTTCAGTCCTAGTCTTCTTATAATTTCTTAATTCTTGATTTTATCTCTTCTTGTCACCCTGGCGGCTCTCCTTAGACATCTCATCTCTGTTGTTATGATCTTTCGCTCATAAGTTGTAGTAAAAGGTCCATGTTTGCACTGGTAACACAATGTCGGCCACACACAAAGAATTTTCTTATGAGATTTGCTTTGGTTTACAGAAGTATCTTTCTATGTGTCAGAAGTGGTGTTAACTGTCCTATAACCTTGTTTGCTTTTGCACATTGTATGTTGATGTCTCTATCCATTCTTCCATCTGAAGTGGAAAAATGACACAAGATATTTAAATTCACTCGTTATTTCTGTGAAATAACATTAGAACTGAAAATTAACTTGGTTTTGAAACTATACAATTTAGACTTCCAGTTAAGGCTATAATTTGATTGATGCCTTGCCAATGTGTGTCATAATTTCTTTGTATTTCTTCACTATCACTATATAATCACTAAATCGCCTGTTTTACCTTGCATGTCAATGTTGTTTTTACTTAGCAGAAGAATATCCTCAGCAAAATCAAGATCTTCCAAATGTGTGTTCTCCACCCAGTCAATGCCGATGCTTCTAACAATTTTTGTCATCAACAAGTTGTAGGGCATAATATACCTTATATCCAGATTGTATTCCACATTGTATTTCCTGTCTTATTACATTGGATCAGTTAGGTTTGTACCCAAGTACTTGAATGTTTCCATTCCATTCAGATACGAGGCTTAGATATGTTTTGTGACAAGCTGAGGTTTTGCATGGGTGGGAGCATCAGCCCCCATGCTTCAACCCACCAACTTACAAGACCAGGTGTTAAAATGTTAACAGTAGTCAACTGTGTTAAAGTGTTATATTAGTCTGTTGTGTTCAAGAGTTATTGCAGTAATAATGTTGAAATGCTTTAGAAGGCAGTTGTGTTGAAATTCCATAGTAATATATTGTACTGAAATGATATATTGGTATATTGTGCTGAAATGATATATTGGTATATTGTACTGAAATGATATATTGGTATATTGTGCTGAAATGATATATTGGTATATTGTGCTGAAATGATATATTGGTATATTGTGCTGAAGTGATATATTGGTATATTGTGCTGAAATGATATATTGGTATATTGTGCTGAAATGATATATTGGTATATTGTGCTGAAATGATATATTGGTATATTGTACTGAAATGATATATTGGTATATTGTGCTGAAATGATATATTGGTATATTGTGCTGAAATGATATATTGGTATATTGTGCTGAAATGATTTATTGGTATATTGTGCTGAAATGATATATTGGTATATTGTGCTGAAATGATATATTGGTATATTGTGCTGAAATGATATATTGGTATATTGTGCTGAAATGATATATTGGTATATTGTGCTGAAATGATATATTGGTATATTGTGCTGAAGTGATATATTGGTATATTGTGCTGAAATGATATATTGGTATATTGTGCTGAAATGATATATTGGTATATTGTACTGAAATGATACATTGGTATATTGTACTGAAATGATATATTGGTATATTGTGCTGAAATGATATATTGGTATATTGTGCTGAAGTTATATAGTAGTCAGTTGCACTGAAGTGCTAAATTAATCAATTGCATTTAAATGCTGTAACAGTAAGTTGTATTGAAGTACATTAAACATAAGCTGTGATGAAGTGCTATTGTAGCATTGTTTTTTTATAAAAAATATTTTTTTTTAGGCCAGTGTAGTAATGAAGTTTGTGCTAATGACAGTCGTGACAAACAACACTATTCAAGATAAGTAAAAGTTGTAAAGCAATGTTATTTGATGACACTGGTCCAGTAGATAGTTGATAATAGTGATATTAAAAATCATGACTGTGATTAATACAAGAATGAAACAAAATGATATTTACATTCTTACTTGAAGACATCGGTCTGGTAGATGGTTGAGCCTGCATGTGAGTGTAGTCCAATCAGCTCAGCTGGGCACCCTGGCTCCTCCAAAAGCTGAAGACAACCCTCAATACTATCTTCTGACAGGCCAAATTTGCAGTCCAACATTCCAGTGTTCACATATTTATGAACTTGCTGAAGTACAGAAATTTGTGAAAATCAGACTCAATCAATACTCAAGTTTAATTTAACTGGGTGTATGTATAAAGCTAATATCAATTTGGAAAATGCAGTTATTCTTGAAATTTCAGTTATCAGTAAGTTCTCATTTGATTAATGATAACCTAGTGACTCGTTTGAATCTATTAGTGCTCCTGTATCCTCCTTATTACTCACTGGCAGGTTAAAAGGAAGAAAGTCATGAATGGGTCACGGTGAGGACATTATTCAACAGATGTGTTAGCTTAGTACCCAGTGATCAGTTGATACAAGTTCTGACAAAGTGCTGTAAAGGTGAAAGTCGAGAGAATCAGCTTCATCGCACCAGGTTTTATCTCCTATGGCTCGCTCTCTATCAAAATAATGGCTAGCCGCCTGCTGAAAATGTTGCACGATTTAAAAGAAACATTTGTAACATATGCATATGGTGCTAGATGAATATTTTTACAGACTTTTTACCACTCCATGCGAGATGTGGTCAGCATCACACCAGCCACTTTTACTTTCAATGACATTTTCATATTAGGCTCAGTCAGCTTGGAAGCCAAGGTCATGTATGAAATTGTTCTCAATATGTTACTCCTTTAAAATAAAATCATTCTTAGAAATGTTTCCTCTGAAATACTGTATAACATTTTTTGTTTTCCTTATATTTAAGATTAAATTACAAGAACAATATCTGACTTACAGGATCAATATTCAAGTTCATTCTCAGAAGCACCTTGGCTTTCTTTGGTTCAGGAAAACCATGTCGGCAGATGTCCAGAGTTTGTTTCAGGTCCCATTCACTGTCCACATTAATGAGGACACCATGCTTTTGTCAAAGGGTAAAACAGTGCACAGTCAGTGATGAATAAACCATTGCATGTGATGGGGTGTTACGTATGATTACAGACTGTCCTTTTGATTAGTTAAATGTTGTGTATGAACTGACCCAAACTTGGAAACACATGGCTATCCCTAGAGAGAAAACAAGACAAATTATGGATGTAGTCTTCATACCAGCCTTGGATATCCAAGTCAGACTTGAACACTGACTAAAGAACAGGAAAGAAAACTAACCACTTGCGAAATGAGATGTTTGAGAAAGGCCATAAACAAAACTAGATGAGATCATGTGAGAAACAAATAAATTACAAGAACTATTGAAAGTAAAGTAAAGTCGGGAGATGTGAACCAGCGTCATTGCACACGGTTATAAACCATAGGTGCTCTGCCACCAGTATGGACACCTGATAAGAACTGTCCGCCTGTGTCGCCATCTGCACGTAACTCTGTTGCGACTGCGATGTTCCTCCATTTACTCCAATTCCTAGAGGCTGGGTGAACCCCGGGAACCACCCGGTTTCAAACACCGACCGTGGGCTGCAGCGAGTCGCTGCTGGATTTGAAAGTGACAACTGGCAACTGGGATGATTAACGGAAAAATAGCAATAGAATGGGAAAAAGGTAGATACCTTTATAGCTTGGTCACATGGATAGGGCAAGGGAAGAACACTGACCCAATCCATGACTCATATGATCATGTGGAAGAGCGAAACATGACAGCCTAGGCTTACCAGCACAATATATGATGGTGATGATGAAGTAAAGAAAAAATAAAATAAAGGAAATGAACCTTTTTTTTTTTTTTTTTACACCACTGGCATATCACACAGATAGTGCTGGATTCATATTGTTATTGGTCAGTCAGCACTTGATGTGTGATGTGGTCAACACAATGCTGACCTACTTTAGTTCTAATGAGATTTCTGGAACCTATTTTAGGCTTGTTTAACCTGGAAGTCCTTGACGGCGATTAAAGCCAGCCCCATATTTTTGATGGGCTCTGTCATGGTTGATGTTAAAAATCCCTGCAAAAGTTCCCTGGGCAAAGAACGCAGCTACAGCAATGTGAATTATGGGAAGTATATTATCTAGCGATAAACTCTTGGCTCTTGGTTGACTGTGGCCAGGTTTTGAGTTACAAATCTTCCTTCACATACTGAAAGTGGATATTTCAAAATTATGCTGGTAATTTAAAACACACAAAAATAAAAATTAAAAAGTACCTTTATAGCCAAATGTGTTTCCCAAGCAGATTTTCCCCCACCATTAAACATGAGGTGGGTGGGTTCAAATCCTGCTTCTAAAGCTAGTCTCAGTTCATTGCCACTGACCAGTGTTGCTGATAAGCCAAAAGACTGAAATTCTCTCAGAACAGTCAAGTTTTGGTTAGCCTGAATGAAAAATGAAAGTTGCTGAGGTCAATTTTTTTTCAGATATTTGCTCAGTATATAGTAAGTAAAGTAAAGTAAAGATCCCTTTTCTCAGTATATAGTAGTGAGCTTAATCAGTCTTGAGCAGGATGTGATGATTCCTTGGGTGAGCCACGTATCACAGCAATGTGTATTGGCTTTGCCATTATGCAGCCTTTTTTGGATGACAGAGAATGCTCATGTTCTGCCAATGCCTTCTTGTGAGAGCTGACCAGTATTACAAGGCTGCTATAGACCAGCTTGATGGGGGAGGGGGTGGAGGAGGGGGCATCACCTGTGAACTAGGAAACAAAGATAACCTCAAAGCAATGAGACAGAAAATGTTCTTCTTCTTTTAAAGTCAATGCCGTGTGGCATTGATAGTCATGTCTATCCACAACATTCAGTCTCATGTACTTTCAATCAACTCTGATACAGATGTCAAACTTTCCAGAATAGTTTCTCATAGTCTCCCTCTGCCTCTCCTCCCCTCCAACTTTCCTACTGTCAAGATGTACTGCAATATCCCAGACAATTAATAGGGAAGGCTTAGCAGGGCAATAAGTGCTGTAGAAGTTGGATATGTTGGACAAAAGGTGCAAATATCACAGCTATGCTGTAAACAGGCACAACACATCTACATTTGTGGATGAACACAGAAGAAGAAGAAAAAGAATAAGATATTTAATGACTCAAAAACTATAGCACATAATAAATCACTGAAAGTTTTTTGGAAAGCAAAGACAATGAATAACAGTACAACATTTATATCTTTTAATCATTATCTGTAAGTGTTTATACAGCTTGTTTTGAGGTCAATTTGTAATTTTTTTTAAATTTCAATTAACTGTATATGAAATAATATATTATACTGTAGTCTTCTTCTTTGCAATCATTGGCTGTAAACTTAGGCAAAACGTTCTGGTTGTTCATCCACTTCTAGACTTAAGACTTGTTGCAGAACTTGAATTCGCATGTACATAAATTCTGCAGATCTGGCTTATTTGTACTGTGGTGACTTTGGACGGTTATGTAACTGTTTAGAAAATTCTTTTGATTAGTTCACTTTAACTACTGTTCGGTTGCTAATATTTACACTGGTATATAGAAAATATTCTCCCTTTTGTTGCAGTAAAAAAAAATGCCATAAATAAAGATTTCTGATGTGGAAAAAAAAAGCTCATGAATAAAACATTTAGGGAACAAAAAGATAATATTAGCATACAAATGTGGAACCAATATTCACACTTCTCAGTATGCTATGCTATCACAAATGATTACATAATATCTTCTACCTTGACAGAAAAATTCAATTGGAACGAGGAACTATATTCCTTCAGAGCATCTACATAAGCCTTGACATTGTCCTGCAGCTGCTTTCGACTGTAGACAAACAGTGGTGTGAGTACAGCCTGGTACTGTAGCTCAATTTGCCTCAGCATTTCCTTCAAGTTTATCTGAAACACAATGACTCATTTTTAACTATATATAGGATATCGCTTAATCTATGACATCATACTTGAGGGGCAGATGCCTGGGAGCTTAGGGTACCAGTATTCAGGCCTTTTTCTGGTGGTTCGCAATAGTACGCAATAATGGAGCCTTTATTTTTAGGCATCATTTTTCAGCATTATTGTAATAGCTACTTTGGGAGTACTGGCACCTTTCAGACACTTTGTGGTGAGTACCAGTGTATTCAAGATCAACTGTTGGGTAACATCGTGGCTCTTTATCAAGATAGCCAGTGCACAGGAAAAACAACAGAAGGAATGACATATTGGTTCTCCATTTCATCAGCCTCAGAGAGGGATATGTCTTCTCACCACTGCTATTTATTACTTACATGAATAGCACTGAACAGGGATCAAATATAGAAAGATAATGATCTTTATAGTCACAAAGTATAATTGCAATGCTCATCAAAACCAATAGCAAAGACATTAAAGAATAAGATGCTGATGATCAGAGTAGTGATAATAATTAATTAGGAAAGGAATATCTTTTTCATTCATCAGAGGACGTACATGCGTTGTGTCAGTTTATAACATGGCTGCAGTAGTTACAATTTTTGGCCAACACATCAGACTTCTGTAAAGCATTTGTTGCTTGGGTCAGCCTTCCCAGTTATGTTGATGGGATACTGCAGTTTCAATGTTGTGTGGTCATCTTTGTTTCCTAGTCTGCAGATGGTGCAGCACATCATGCCAATCCAGAGTAGCCATCTAATGCTGCTCAGCCCTCAAGTCCAATTCCTAATTCCTTTTAAGAAACAATCAAAAAACTCAACCATGTTCAACCTGCTGCTAGCTAGATGAAGTTGCCAACAGTCTCCGGCTATATTTGTGGTCTTGTTTATTTGTGCCACTTTCGTGGCTAAAATTCTGGTATTTGTGCCATCTCTGGGCTTAATGCTTCTTTCCTCCAAGTCAGACCGCACATTCCCTATCCTGTTGTCAACTCTGTTCTTCTTCTTGCCCTTTCATTTCTGATCTTTCCTTCTTGGTTTCAGCTCCTTCTAATTTGGCCAGGAGTATATTGTAGGACAGTGAGCTTCTCAACATAACATCCTACGGACCACAGTTTATAGCTTTAAACTTTTGAGTATTTTACGTTGCCAAAAAGTACTGAAAACAGTTTTTGGGTTTAGATAGATCCGAAATGTGAAAATATTCTGTGTGTGACAATATGTTCTTATAGTTGTCTTCCTTCAATAAGAACGGGTTATTCATGTCATAGAGATGTGTGTGAAATGTTAGGTGAAGCCTCAAGAGGTGGCAAGGGCAGAACATGAGCATTCTCCGCCACCAAAAAAAGGCTTTCATAAATGCAGGGCCCTTACATGGTCCTCTGGTTCTGGTCTCACCCAAGGAATCATCACGTCCTGTTCATGGTTGTTTAATCCCACCTCCATATATTTACTCCGGCACTCCTCAAGGGCTGCACCTATGTAAGCTAGGCAGGAGACAGCCTCCAGAGCTGGATCTTGATTACCTACACAAAATGAGTATTTTAATTCTCATGCATGTTATACATTTACTGCACTGGACTTCCATGTCCACTACAGTTTCATATGACAAGCTGTAATTTGAAAATAAAGTGAAATAGTTATTAAGTATTGGATGAAAAGACACGTATTTTGATAATACAATACAATAATGCAAATACAAAAGTTTAAAACAATAATGTGGGGGGGGGGGAATAGAAAAAATAACTGATATTAATCATCCTGAGAAAAAAAAAAAATTTTTAAGTCTATATTTATTGTGATATACTTAAAAATGATTTACTTATTGTATTAAAAAACTGTAATATATAAAGAGGAGAAAGATGGCAGTAGTGAATATCAGAATCCTTATAATGCAAGTTAATTAATTACATATTGTGCTGTCTCCACAATGAAAGCTGGTTGCAAGTTTCCACTGCTTTTTGGGAAAATGTGGTGAGGCCTTAATCTCTTCTATGGTATGATTCTCATTTCATTGTCTGACAGCCACAAGAGCAGTCTTTTTCTAAACCACCCACTGAAAGACTCAAAACCCTGACAAACACTAGGGATTATAATGGGAAATCATTTCCCTAACCTCTAAGCCAAAGAGCCGCCCTGGTTAACAATCCTTTGTTTCTTTGCCTTTATTATAAAAAGCAATGCAATCACTAAAGTTTCAGATGAAGTCTCCCTGTGCCATCTATTAGGATCAACATGAAAATGATACTGCCACAATTCTTAACACCATATTTAATTTCATGTCCTGTTTCTTACCTTCTCACAATACATCTCCCCATCTGAGCAACTAAAATAACTTGCCATCACTGTACCAGGTGTTTCCACAATCTGCTGACTCAAAACAGGGATGAGGACCATTTACTTATTATTTGTATCTAGTACTATGTGCAAACATCTAATGGATTAAATACCCACTGACACAATTTAGCAAGTTTCTGAAAATGCAAAATAAACTCTAGAACAAGTAAATTAAATACTGAAGCCAGTTTTTGGCTTACACATTGCCCTGATCAGCCATCACAGTAAATTACAGACAACAACAGTTTAAATGTGCAGTTTGGAAGATCACTAAACATTACCAGTTACAGATTCCAAATGGTAATGAGACAATGATTTTGTCATCCCCTGTCCATCTTCCAGGCATGCTGTTATGGTGGTTCCTTACTAATAAGTTTTTTTTTTTTAAATAATCAGATGACATGGAAGTCAAGATGAAATCTGCATGCTGAAAACAGTTAAAGGTGTTAAAAGATACAAAATAACTATTAAAATGCTCCAGAAGACAGAAAGGTTCAAGTACATGTCAGTTCATTCTGCTTGCTTATATTTATTTCATGTAATTCCATCATTTCTTAAATCTGAATGAAGTTACTTCAGTGTCATGTCTTCTGTGTGCTGTGCTGTATGAAGACTTGTTACTTTAACAACTTTGCACTTGTGTTTTTGTATGGCCAACTTACACTTTGTGTTTTATATGAACATCTATTATCTCAGAGTAGCTCAGAAATCTATTATAAAATTTTATTTTTAAAGTATTATATAGCCTGAAGTATTAACAAACATAATCATAGGCATTGAAACTAAAGACTCAGGCACCCTGAGAACCCTTACAGCCACCTCCCCCCCCCCCCTTTTTTTTCCGCCCAATACTTTTCTGGGAGCAAAGTGCACCTCCCCATATATAACTTGTCTCTTTTTCAAGCATCTGTGTCCCATTAAATATTATTTCAAATACATATTTTTTGCATGCACATAATAATAATAATAATAATAATAATAATAATAATAATAATGTAATAAGCATAATATTCGTGTGCGCCCCCTCCCCTTCCCTTCCTTCCCCCATCCTACAGCAATAATTGTTTATGAGCAGTTTTGTGTCTAAACCATCCCTGTGCATCCAAGCTTGCCGGCTTGTCGAACATAAACTTTGTCTAAGGTGACCAAAAGTAGCAGACAACACCCACTGTTTAATTACAATAAACGTTAATACATTAACAATTATATTATATTATAGTTTGTTAAATAACTAGACGAAGTAACTACGATTGAACTATGCAAATGACAAATTAAAAGAAAAGTTAAATGTAGTTACAAATTACAAACACTGGACTTTGATTGACAGGAAGCAGGTGTGGAATTCTAGTTATATCGTAAAACAATCAGTCTGTATGTATTTATTATCCTGCTACAATATCAAAGTTATCTCCCTTTCCCCACATCGTTGTGCAAGGTAAAAAAAAAAATGTTGCCTAACCTTTTCAGGATGTTGCAGAACCAACCCCAGCATTGTGGCTGTTTGTGGTTATACCAGGCAATTATTAGGTTCAGTAATTTGCAATTGCTCACTGAACGCTTGGCTCTTGAAACCAACGCAAGGCATGCTGCTGCCAAATCGGCTGCTTCGCCTGCTGGGATCGAACCCGGCACTTCGGCATTACGCAGCGTGTTCGGAACGAATAAGCCATAAAAGAAAAGAAGGCACTTATTCCTATCTCCACACTGTATCAACGCCTGTGCTGACGTGACTGTGTTGGGCTGTTGAATGGGGATTCCGGGATTTGTACCTGTTTGATTCTCAATTTTGTGATATTTATTAATTCTGACTGCAGTCCAGGAGGGGACAAACTATCTACCTACTCCAGAAGTAGTATATTATCGCACTACATATACTTTTTTTTCCTATTCGATAACTCTTTCAGTCGCAGGTAACGCATCAAACATTAATAGGTTCCTAACAAGAAGCCAATGAACGCAAGGTGCGTCAATTATACATTTCTTTTTACCGCGTCTTGAGCTCTGATGCTAAACACTCAGGGATTGGCGTCGGTATGTTGAGATGTGGTTTAAAACTAAGCTGAGATATTTGCACCTTTCGACCAAACACATCCGATTGAAAAAAAAACGTCATTAGTTTGCCTCCCCCAACCCCCCACCTCACCCCCCCCCTCCCCCGAGAGATAATCTTCTTCTTCTTCTTCTGCTGCTGCTGCATCTGCTGCTGCGTTCATCCAAAGACAAATTTTGCATTGTTCCCGTTTGCAGCATGGCTGCGATAATCTGCGCCTTTCAGCCGACACACCCAAATTCCGCAGGCATTTTTCGACCGGATTAGCCATCCAGCGGGATTTAATATGTTAATGACGATGACAAAAAGCTGTCATCCCAACTACATCCGCCATCTCCTTGTGGGATGCAATTTTTCGTTTACATGATATATTCTTTACGTCCTTCTTAGGACGTAATTTTTTGTTATTTGAAGCCCCACTCTGGCTTTTGCCAGGGGCCGCAATATAGGCAGGCCATCAATATGGCCAATTGTCTGAACGCGGTTTCTGGGACCTCTCCACGGTGATCCTCATCCGCATGGTGGCACTTTTGTGTCATCGGGTGTTTATCGCTTGTGTGATGTCCTGGTGGGGTAGAAAGTCAGTCAGTCAGTCAGTCAATTTTTCGTTATTTTGAAGCCCTGGTGGTTGCAATATAGCGTAACGGTTTAAACCGTTTCCGGGACCTTCCCACTGGTGATCCTTATCAGCATGGTTGCACTTTGTGTCACTGTCACGGGTGTTTATGTACTGGTGGGGTAAAAAATTTACTTACTTACCTACAACCTGACCAACTTGTAGATGTTTGAGTTACTTGCATTCACGTCTATTTCAAAGGCTGACAATGTGGTTAACTGTTGACATCGTTAGTGTTTGTACAGACGTGGTCACATTTGAAAGTCCTTTGTTTGCTCCCCAGTATCTCAATGGCCAGGTGATTACCTGCTGGTCCGATGGGATTCGAACTATTGGCAATGTATTATCACAGAGCAAGTGTAAGCGTTAGCGGGTAACTGTTTGATTGTAATGATTTTCCGCTCCATTGCTTCTACTGCTCTAGTGTTTACCTCATTCACTAGCAACGGCTAGAGGAGCTTTGGAATCAACATGAATTGGAGATACCAGACCTTGAACTTCCCAATCAGCCTGCTTTGTTCGATAGCAATGAGGCCTGTTGCCAGGGACGCGTGCATTCGCGGGACTTCCTTTATATCTGATAGCTTCGAATCGTAAACGCGGCCGAGACTCTTCACTGTTTTTTCAAGATCCGTGGGGATAATTGACTTGTCACAGTGAATCTGGTCGCCACCACCTTAGCGCTACTGATTGACAGGCTTCTGTTGCACCATTTGACCACACAATCAAGCCTCTGCAGTATCAGGCGTGCCTCACTTTCACGGCATGTTATAATAGTCGTGTCATCCATAAATTCTCTCATTGGCGGCATCCAGAGATACCCAATATGTAGTCCCTGCCTGTAACCGGCAGCCCCATCTAGCATAACCTGCATGGCCATAACAAACAGTGCCGGGGAACCGTACAGCCCATTGTTATCCCAACCTGGAGCTCAGTCCATGACGTACTAAACGTAGGGGTAGATAACCGCACAGCGAGTTTGGAAAAATACTGCTCGATCATAGCACTAATCTCTGCCGGGACTTAAACATACAAAGGCACTAGCATAATAGTCTGTGGGGTACGACCCATATGCGTTAGGGAGATCCAACCAGATCATGTGCAGTTCTTTCTTCTCTGCCTTTGGTCTCCGAATACTATCCCAAATGACGAACACATCTCAAGGCATCAGTGGAGGCCTGGAAAACCTCATTTCTGCAGCGATTTGTATGTGTACTTGTTCTGCATCAAATAGTTCGTCCTGGTACCCACTAAGGCTGGGTCGACCTGGGAGCTAAGGTCGTTTTTTTTTTAAAGTCCGACCCCGCCATGGCCCGCACCTTCGACCTTCCGATCCGGAGGCGAGCGTCTGGCCGCTACACCACGGCGACTCCCGTGTATGCTGTATACCTGGATCATTTCCCACGTTGAAGTGTCTTTGAAAAGAATGTCACTGTTTTTTGCGCAGAACAGTTGTGATATCCCTTTTAAAAGCTTATCTTTAATGTTTAGGGTCAGAGTCACTGTGTCCCTATCCCCGAGTGGGTTCCGGGGTCTCATTATAAGAACAACAAAAATAGACCCACTGCCTCCCAAACAAGCATGTAGTAAGAGTCGACTAATTAGGGACTTCCTTCAAAGTCGGACTGCACCTGCCTGACAGACAAGGAACCAACAGTATGCATACAAATAAGCAAGGTCTGTATAACGGATGTACACGTAAAACGTACAACCAGGTCTTTCCCCGGGGTTCACAGCCAGTGAATGCAAACAATAACAACTTGATCCTTAAAAAATGTCTCATTACTCGAAAAAAAAAAGGTTAGGCATCACTGGGATACAGGGCATCTCTTTATACACTCAGTGAAACAACGGCCTTTTCTTTCTCTCGCATGTGTAACATAACCAACGCCAAGAGTGAAATGGGTCACGGCAAAATGGTGACTCATGGCTCGTATATTACGTCGTGCAGTCCGGTTGTTACTTTCGGTCACGCTTGTGGCCGAAGCCACGTCATGGCTAGTGAGATGATTCATGTTGGAAAGGAGACCCACACCCAGTTCCTTAGGTCACGCAGCAGCCCCAACACCAAGACACAAATGTGAGGGTTGGGGGGGGGGGGGGTGTTGTGTGTGTGGTTAAAAGGATTTAAACATAGTTTAATAACATAAAGGTGCCTTTAAAAACCCCTATTCTAACACACTGGTGTGTTGCACTTGGCTTTGGAATTATTTTTGCTGTGCTAGCTTACTATTATTTAGCTGGGGTGAGTCTAGTGACAAAATATTAAATGCAATTTCGATAGTTACATTTGTTTGCTAAAAATATTTGTTCCTATTCCAGTGACGAATGTTGTAATGT